TGCTGGGGCAAACCAGTGAGATGGGTGGGCTATAAATAGTAACATTATGGAATAGGATGTCCCTATTTTCATTGGAGAAATGTTGGAGGGTATGCACACCCCTTTGTGTTCACATGCAGATGTAAGCAGGTGGTGCTGTGGTCTAAACCACTGAGCCTCTTGAGCTTGCCGATCAGAAGGTTGGTGGTTCGAAACCCCACGACGGGGTGAGCTTCTGTTGCTCTGTCCCAGCTCCTGCCAACCTAGCAGTTTGAAAGCACATCAGTGTGAGTAGATAATTAGGTACCACTGTGGCGGGAAGGTAAACGGCATTTCCGTGTGCTCTGGCACTTGTCATGGTGTCCCGTTGCGCCAGAAGTGATTTAGTCATGTTAGCCACATAACCCAGAAAACTGTCTGTGGGCAAACGCCATCTCTCTGAAAGCGAGATGAGTGCCGCAACCCCATAGTTGCCTTTGACTGGACTTAACCATCCAGTGGTCCTTTACCTTAGCCAGTGGCAGTGACAGTGTTATAATGGCCTAGGAGCTGAGCAGCCTGCCAGCCCTGTATGGTACCTTGCAGTCACCATATTTCATCTTGCGCAGCTCTGTGGAGTATAAAATATTGTGGCCATCAGGAACCAAATTGAGCTGAGTGGCTGCTTAGCTCTCAGCTCATTACAGCAGCATTGCTGCTTAACATTCTTCTATTTGTTAGGGAAATGTTAAGGATTTCTGCAACTGATGACAGGGGAAGAGTTTTCACATTCAGCCTAAAGTACTAGTGCTTCCTCAACTTCCCTATGAAAAAAATGTGTATCCATGTGTCCAGCTTTTAAATGCGTGTGTATTGAGGTGGGGGAACAAACAAGACAGGAATGTAGAAAAAGATTGTATTTGATACATACAATGCACATTTAGTTACAGGTAAGTTCCGCTTTGTTTGGTTGAGCCTATTCCCTGAGAAGCATGCCTAGGATTTTTGCTGAAACTAATTATAGGCAGTGATTGTTTTAGGCACATCCAATATGAGCGTGATAAAAAAATGCGCTCATTGCCACGAACCTGGAAGTGACCCAAACACTTCACAGAAAGGGACAGGACGGGGGCAGGCTTTTTCAATGGTGTTTCAAATATATGCAATTTCACTTAAACACACAGTGCCTTGGAACATAAATTGGGAGTTGCCTGTACACTAACAGCAAATGTAAGTGCTGTGTTAAGGTACCTATGTAGCCAAATTGAGGCAACTGGAAAACAAGACAGAGGTATCAACATGCACAGTGAAACAAACCCCAAAGATTGCAAGATGGCCAAGTGTTGGGATGAAATACAGTGGTGCCCCGCAAGACGAATGCCTCGCAAGACGGAAAAACCGCTAGACGAAAGGGTTTTCCGTTTTGAAGTTGCTTCGCAGGACGAATTCCCCTATGGGCTTGCTTCGCAAGACGAAAATACCTTGCGAGTCTTGATATTTATTTTTCGCTTCCCCCCCCCCCCTTTATCTAATCTGCTAAGCCTTTAATAGCCTTTAATAGCCTTTTAGCAGCTAATCCCCTAAGCCTTTAAGCCTTTAATAGCCGCTAAACAGCTGATAGCGCTAATAGCGCTAATCCGTCAATGGGCTTGCTTCGCAAGACGAAAAAACCGCTAGACGAAGACTCTTGCGGAACGGATTAATTTCGTCTTGCGAGGCACCACTGTATCACCAATGGAAGCGAAGGCACAGAAAAAACTCAATATGGAGGCCAAATGGCCAAAATATTGGGAAATTTTGGAACAAGATGGAGACAGATTAAAATTGCAGAGCTTTGAAAAATTGAAAAACAGAGTGTGAGATTGGCTCCATTATTATCAAATAATGGAGGCATGCAATCTGGACAAAAAAGTTGGCTTCCAGGTGGAAAAATCAAAATTGGAAACAGAATTGTTAGATCCAAAAACCAAGAACTTGTCAAGAATGTATAACTTGCTGTTGAAATGGAACACTCAGGATGAAATGGTGAAATCAGTTATGATTAAATGGGCACAAGATGTTGGACATAACATAATGATGACTGACTGGGAACAGTTATGGACCACAGGTATGAAATTCACGGCATGTAATGTCTTAAGAGAAAATTTAATGAAAATGATTTATAGGTGGTACATGACACCAGTCAAGCTTGCAAAAATTTATCATCTGCCCGACAATAAATGTTGGAAATGTAATGAGACTGAAGGTACATTCTTTCACCTTTGGTGGACATGCCCAAGGATTAAGACATTCTGGGAGATGATTTATAATGAAATGAAAAAGGTATTCAAATATACCTTCTTGAAGAAACCAGAGGCCTTTCTCCTGGGCATGGTCAGCCAATTGGTGCCAAAGAAGGATAGAACTTTTTTTATGTATGCAACAACAGCAGCAAGAATACTTATTGCGAAGTATTGGAAGACACAAGATTTACCCACCCGGGAAGAATGGCAGATGAGGTTGATGGACTATATGGAACTGGCGGAGATGACTGGCAGAATCCGAGACCAGGGAGAAGAGTCAGTGGAAGAAGACTGGAAAAAGTTTAAAGACTACTTACAGAAATACTGTAAAATTAATGAATGTTAGGAAAATGTTGGAATGAAGTTATATGGCTTTAGTAGAAATGTTATAAGGAATTAAGTATAAATAGATCAATAGAGTACTAAAGGGAAAAATAAGGTTAGAACCTGTTAAGATAATTAAAAGATAGAAAGCAGAGGAAGATGGAAAGGAATTGCTGAAACAATTAACAGAAGTGGAATACAAAAAGGGAGGTGTGAGGAGGTCACTGAAATAAGTGAATGAAAGATAAGATACGGAAATTGTTCGATTTTTTTAAAAAAATTGTTTTTGTTCTGTTAGTTTAGTGTGTTTTGTAGTGTTTTTGTATTGTATTGTGATGCTATTTTTTCTTCTTCTTATTTTTGTGTGTGTTTGAATTGTCGGGAAAGTAATAAATATATATATATTTTTTAAAGTGTTGGGATGAAATAATGGAGAAGAAATAATGTGAAATTGGCTGGAGGGGCAGCTGAGGGGGAAGGAAGTACCCTGAAATAAGGATGGCTGGCTTAACAATGAACACTCCATACTGCAACATTTAGTTGCGGATCTCACTTTGTAATAGGGATTCTGAAATATGAGTGAATCCGTATTTAATGTGTAATAGACTATTGTATTTTAATATTCTGTTGAAAGCCGCCCAGAGTGGCTGGGGAAACCCAGCCAGATGGGCGGGGTATAAATAAATTATTATTATTATTATTATTATTAGATACTTTCTGCACTTCGTAGCATCTTACATTTTCCATCTCACTGGTGCTTTTCTTGTTGGCAGCTGTCAAGGCAATAAAATGGTTTGTTGCAGCAGAAGAGCATTGACATGAGATTTATCCCTTAAGCAAAGTTAGAACCCCATTGACATTTTGCGAAAATTGTGTTATTAGATGAAGCTCTTGTCAACGTGGACTAAATCAAACATAATTTTCAAACAGCACCAGCGTTTTCCCAATGATCAGGTTTCAGACAAAGTTGACATGCAGAAGAAATCACAATTCAGCTTTCTATTTATGACTGACAGATTCAATTGGTTAATTACTGTGTCTTCCCCCCTTTTTTATTTTCTTCTATAATTCTTGTTAACAGGCTGGAATCAACTGTTGCTATTTTCGCCTTGTTACCACTACTCCGTTTGACATGTGAGTCATAATTGTAATAAGCAATGTGAGTAATGACTGTAATGACTTTATTTCCTGCCTCTCTTTCTTTCTACGCCCGCCCCTGTGGTGGTTTGGGATTTGTACTCTTCTTGGAGGCAGCGGCCATTATTAATGCAGATGTGTCAAAATGGACAACCAGAAGTAGCCACTGTTTCTCTTGAAAGACAAGCCACGAAGCAATCTGCTCTCCAGGGTTTCAGCCTTAAATAAACTTACTCTACAATCCCATTGTCCCTGAAAGAGCATCCCAGGGAACTCTGGAAGTTCACTTACACTGAGTCAGACCATTGGTCCATCTATGGATGGATCTACACAGATATAAAAAAAACCATGAAAAAACACTATAAATATATCTACCCCAATGCAATTTGCCATTGACTTTGGATTGCAGCTCTACAGCGCTATCCAGTGTCACATTTCTATAACATAACATTATAATTGACCTGCCTAACTGAGTCCTAATTTAGTACTGCCGACACTGACAAGTACTGAAACGCCAGGTTTTTAGGCAGGAATCTCTCCCATTCCTACCTGGAGATGCTGAAAATTGAACCTGGAGTCTTCTGAATTCAGAACAGATGCTTGGCAACATGTACCCTGTTATGTACTGAAGTTCTCACCCTGGGCCAGCAGGGGGATACTGTAGATAGTTAAGCAAATAAGGGATCGAAAGTGACGTTCAGTGATTGGATAGTTTTAGAAAATTGTTACAGTTACGTTGTACTGGCGCTCTATATAAGCAGGCTGGCTGAACCCTTCAGTTCAGTTCTGTTCTGTTCTGGCCTGTGAATAAACAAGAGCTGTTTGAAGTATCGCTGTGTCGTCTGATATGTTCACCCACAACTTAACACACCCATTTTTGTATGCCATTCCCCCTAATAAAATGAGTATTCTATATATCTTATTAGCATAGAGGTTTCTATGTGCCAGTGTGGTGTAGTGGTTAAAAGCGGTAGTCTCGTAATCTGGGGAACCGGGTTCGCGTCTCCGCTCCTCCACGTGCAGCTGCTGGGTGACCTTGGGCCAGTCACACTCCTTTGAAGTCTCTCAGCCCCTCAGTGTTTGTTGTGGGGGAGGAAGGGAAAGGAGAATGTTAGCCGCTTTGAGACTCCTTCGGGTAGTGATAAAGCTGGATATCAAATCTAAACTCTTCTTCTTCTTCTTCTTCTTCTTCTTCTTCTTCTTCTTCTTCTTCTTCTTCCTCCTCCTCCTCCTCCTCCTCCTCCTCCTCCTCCTCCTCTTCTATTCCAGTGTACATATGCAGTGCAAAATTTGCCTTGAGCCTTTGCTCAGTCAGCAGAACACGATACTTTTAATCTTGAGGCTGTGGGTTCAAGCCCCACATTGCGCAAAAGATTCCTGCATTGTAGGGGATTGGACTTGACCCTCGTGGTCCCTTACGATTCTACAATTGAAGGATGGGCTGGGTTCAGGTATTGTTCAGGAACATTCACATTTAAATGCAAGCTGAACTGAATTTCTCTTTCATCCCGAGGAGTAAGGCCTATCTTCCTCATGCAAGATTTCTATACTGAGCGCTTGGGGTGAAATATAGCTGCATGCAATTAAACAGTTCTTTAAAACCTTCATTATTTGGATTCCCTGCTTTCACAAAGACATCTCATTGTCATGCCCGGGACTATTGTTCTGTATTAATAAGCTGACACCAAGCAGCTCCAAACACCAGTGTCATGCTTTGCAAATATTTGTCTAACTTTTGCTTGAAGAAAAATGATTAAGAGATTTGAGTTGTTTATACAATACTAGCGTGTTCCAATATAAGCAGAGGAGTTTACAGAAGAATCCCCATGACACTAGTCTTTCTCATCTGGATAACCATTTAACTTTGCTTTTATGGAACATATGATGAATAAAGTGCCAAAAATTTGCTTGATATTCCTAGTGCAAGGACAACAAGCCAGAGAGGCTGTGCTGTGTGTGCAAGTGTATGATCTAAACAGATTAACAATAAACATTTTATTGGTTTGGATCTAGATTACGTTAGTTGTACTTAAGTCTCATTGACTTTAATAGGAGCTAAGTCATAACTGACTGGTTCCACTGATTTCAGTGGGATACAATTTCTATTAACTTTCAGTGCAATCCCAAGTCATGTCTGCTCATAAGTAAACTTCACTGACTTGTTCCAGCTAAGGATTTTAGCCCTAATCTAGAGCCAAACCATTGCATGGGATCCACCTAACAAAGGGCTTCTGCATTTGCAATGGAGTTTTCCCTCGCTTTCCTCCTCCTGCACTTCCTGGACCCACTGAAATTGTTTGTGTGTTGGGACACACACACACACACACACACACACACACACACCACTCAACAGCAAGCAGGAGGAGGAAAGTGGGAATTGTTCTATCCGGCAAGCTCAAATGCTTGTACTGGTGTGGCACAGTGTTTAATTTCACCCCTAATGCCTGTTCACCTGCGTTTATTTATTTATTCAAAATATTTGTACCAGTGGCACTGTTGGATGGGGGCCTGGGAGCTAAGACTGAGGTAAAAAAACACCACTTCCTTCAGGCAGCCCTTTGGCTCATAGGGATGTTGCTTAAAGTCCAGATTTTAAGGCAGGTGAGTGGGAGAGGCAAGGACTATTTTCTACAGAGTGGCCAAATAGTCTGGGCTAAACCAAGCTGCTTTTATGTAGCTGGTCTATGTGCTGAACTCACGCATGTTTGAAGCCTCCAACAAAAGACCTCCCACTTGAAAACCAACACATCTTTCATGTAGAAGAAGAAGAAGAAGAGTTTGGATTTGATATCCCGCCTTTCACTCCCTTTAAGGAGTCTCAAAGCGGCTAACATTCTCCTTTCCCTTCCTCCCCACAACAAACACTCTGTGAGGTGAGTGGGGCTGAGAGACTTCAAAGAAGTGTGACTGGCCCAAGGTCACCCAGCAGCTGCATGTGGAGGAGCGGAGACGCGAACCCGGTTCCCCAGATTAGGAGACTACCGCTCTTAACCACTACACCACACTGGCTCTCTAATGTATTCCCTTTGTGTCAACTGATTCAGATTAGAAAGGGATCCTTTGTGAGCCAAAATTTCCTAAGGGTGAACCTGCTAATGATTAGCTGAACAATGATGTCCGCAAGCCTTCAGTTAGGGCTGAGGAAAATATTCCCCACACACTGTTAAATGAGAAATTATGAACTGGTGTCACTTACTTTGTTGACATTAATAAACTCTGTAATCCTATACTCATATACAACAGTGTTATTATGAAAATTGTTCTGGCTTTGCTGGAAACACGGCATGTTCTATCATCCTACACCTTAGTGAGGATCTCAGTCTACCTTCTGCCCCCCCTCTTTTAAATTTAAAACAGTCAAAAAGTCATGAACGTCAAAATCATTCTAATCATTCTAATCAAAATCATTCTAATATGGCAGTCCCTTGCCCCTTTCTAAAATTTCTGTGTTTTCCTTTCTGTAAATCTACCAAAGAATAAAGTAATATAAATTTGGGAATAAGGGGATTTCGCAGGATGGTGGAGGGCATGTATTCTGTGCCCCATTGGTGTGGGGGCAGCAAAACTCACCCTTCTTCTGATAGGAAATGCTCTTTGGGTGGGTGGGTGGGTGGGCACACAAAAATGGGGGGTTGAGGAGGGTCAGTTGGGTGTGTGAGTGAGAACAAAGTGCCTATTTTCATCTGAGGAATGTTGGAGGGTATGCTGCAAGTGTCTATTATTTTATAGACAAAGCTGTCCCTAACATTAGGCAGAGTGAGGCAACTATCTCAGGTGGCAAATATTGGGGGTGGAAGCAGCTGTTCCTCCAGAGCATGTGCTTCTTTTGGGGGACTGAGCTGTGTAGGCCACAAGACCTCTCCTGGGGCTTTATATTAGTCTGTTGCCTCAGGTGCGGCAAAGGACGCACTCCCAGTGTCTGAAGTAAACTTCAACTGCCAATCCAGTCGGCTTCTGTTGATGGACTGAGGCGGTGATGCCATCTTGTCTTTTACCTCAGGCAGCAAAATGTCATGCACTGGCCCCATTCATAGTGCTTTATGAAGTTTGAGATGCTTCTAAGAGTTGGCAGTTGACTCCTTTTGCCGTAACGTGAGGTAATCATTTGACAGCCTGCAATTACTCCGTGTCTCCACTGCCGTAATGTCAAACTACAATCCTGACGCCTGCAGAAAATGTGATTATTAATGTACCTCCCCTAAGCTCACATCTGTCTTGGAATTCTGGAGAAGACATGGACAGAAAGGAACATTGTGCGTCTCTAAAGGATGAAGCTTGCCCTTTTGCTCCAACTACTAATTGTTCTTTAGGGACAACTAGTCAAATGTAAGAGTCAGGACTCGGTGCCCATCAATGTCTTTAATGAGAAATCTCTGTGCAAGGGGTGAAACGTACGCCAAACGTTCTTCAAATAGGCAGTGGCATCTCCCCATTGGGAAATCCCAGAATCTATTAGATAAGCTAGATAAAATGATCGGCAGCGGTTGTCCTCAGGTGAAGAGGAGAATTCTGCACTCTGTATATAGGTTTGCCAGGAGAATGTGATGGTGAGGAGGAAAGAATTCAGCAAGATTATTTTTTTGCGCTTATAGAAAACGAACTTTGGGCCTCTCCCTAGGCTAATCCTCAAAGCAGTATAATTAATGACACTGGAGAGTTTGAGAAAGTGAGAAGACCCTTTGAAAAGGGTATTCTAAAGTTCTAAAGGGGACATCTTCAACTCCCAGAATGTGGAATTTCAAGTTTATTTAAATATTCACTACTTAGTAATATCTAAGTTCAACAGAAAGTCTTTAAAAATCTCTTGTTCATCTATCATGGCAGGTTTTTGGAGGGAGAACACAGGGCAATGATGCTGGGCCATTACTTCTGTTTTCCCTAGTTTATTTTCTGATTTGCTTAAAACAAAATGAATGTACGCCTGGAGTTTTGAGCTACAGCTTGTCCTACGATAGGTACAGTTACTGGGACACTAGATCCATTTGGGCCTCTTAATGTGTTCTTCCCTCTTATATGCCTTCTTATAATTCTTCCAGTGGAATGGAGTCCTGTTTAGACTCTGTAGGGACATTGCTGCTATCACTGGTAACCTCCCAAAGTACAATTGGAGGAAACATTCTTGTGGAGTTCAGTCAAGAACTTCAATCACTCATAGTGTCCCCTAATAGCAGAAAATGCCAGAGGCTAGCATGCAACGCCATGAATAGAGCACTATTCATAACTTGTACTGTTAAAGCTGATTTAAACTTCTACATCTTTCCTCCATTAAAGGGAGGATTTGTGAAACATCGGCATCAATAGCTTTTGCCACCACAATGTTTCACATTTTTAATACCCTTTTAGGGATGTTGCAGTGGCATTAAAAGCAGCATTAAATGTCTGTAAATGTTTTAGAATGGTAAAGCCTGGAGATCAAGTTTCTGTCTTTAGATATTCCGTTGTTTCCCACTGACTGGTGTCATTAATATTAAACTGGATACCATAGTCCTGACACAAGTAATGGTTTCTGGTAATAAGATTGTTTTAAAAGAAATGTACTTCTTAAAAGTTTGGGATTTATTCCAATGCATGTTTACCAAAATTTATGAATTCAAAGCTGTTTTTATTTTGTCTTGATGAAGATGTCTTGGTGTGTCTATAATTTCCCTCCCTGGCCCAACCTTTTAGTTTCATGAGGAATATTCACTTTCCTTGTTTGCAGTACTACAAATTGGAAAGAATCTTTTTCCAGTGCAATGTTTATGAGATTAGTACAATCTGGACAGTGGAGAGAGCACAGATTCATAAAAAATGCCTGCCCAAATACACTGACACTGGTTGGGTAAATTGCATTAACTCGCATCTATTTTATGCAACTGGCTATTTGCTTCCAAGGTGTCTCTTGCCTTAACCTTGTCTGTTGTAGATCTGTGCTGTCCAGAGATGGCAGTGTTTCAAAACATTGCAGCTGAAGGAAATGAGCCTGTTGCTCTTACTATGCCACTCCTATTTATGATCAGGCATAATTCTGTACGATAAGGCATCAGAGTGTGAAATAACAAATTATCAGTGTTCAACTTTCTCATCTTTGTTGCTCGTTTGACATAAAATAATTGCTGCAGCCAGGAAAAAGGGTTACTTGCCTAAATCACATATTACAAATGCACTGCCATCATGGAATGACTGCAAGATCAAGTGATAGGTTGCATTTGTGAAACATCCATGAGAGATAAAAACATTGCACACATAGCTTTCATGCCAGTCGACAACACAGAAGATACACTGTTTTTTGGTGAAAGTAGTTCACACCAGGTGATCAAATAGTGTGTGTACATGTGAAATTAGGGACCACATAGAGTTGGTTGCCTGGTAGGGTTGTCATATGTCCGG